TATATATATTTAAAACATACATTTGCACCAACTTGTTCGAGGCTATGTTTCAAGTCGTCTGAATTAAAATATTCCATATATAATTGTGTTTGAGTACGGGCCACCCAAGCGAGAATATATTCACCAACCTCAGCGTGTACACGAGTTGTATGCTAAAAAAATAATAAAACGCGATCCGCTCGTTTAGACAAAGATAAAAAAAAAAAAACTATAATATAAAAATTTAAAAATTTTTGATAATAACCTCTAATAAAAGATCATATGAAAAATTGCATAGTTTTTCCCAATCACTTTCAGGCATTTCGTACTTGGGCGTGGTGAGTTTTTCTACAAATTTTTTTTTTACACTTTCGTGGTGATTAGATGCCAAGAGTGAATGAAGTATTTTTTCCATTTTTCATAAAAGTAAATTCGGTTTAATTTTGGTTTGATCACGACAGAAACTTCGAGACTTGATAAAATTTTATCGACGAAACGATCAAGAATTGAACCCAACTATAGTATATAGCAATGTTACACGTGCCAGATTATCGGGCACGACGTACATACGTACGTAAGTGTGTACGTACGTAATAGACTGTACGTACGTACGTACCTATCTGCTATTGTACGTAATCATTTTACGAACATTAATGGTCTTTGAAAGAATGTTCGTCAAATATATTTAATATCATTATATTATGTTAATCAACCATTCATATGATCGTTTCCTTCTTAAACACTAACTTTAATAAAAGATAACCAAATAACTTTAAATACTGGATATATACAAGTGCAATTCTTGATTTGACGTTATGCATCAAAGACGACACTCGAAATAGCATTTAGAAACTTTAGCAATTCAGAATTTATCTTAACGTTAGCAATTTATATAAGGTGTTATGGCGAATGTGGGTGTCGTGACGAATTGAACATATTACAAGGAAATATGATTTTTTTTTACTAAGCAAATCGAAGTTTATCCATTAAGTAAAGTTATTGTAAATTCCATCTTTTATTTACCTTCAAATTTCGGTGCAATTCGGATAACTTTTTATTAAGAGGTTTTTTCATTATACACTTTGGCGCAGAAATAAATCATCAAGGTCAAGATCACATGAAAGAAATAGAAACGCATTATGAAAAAAAGATCGTCGATTTACATACGATCCTCACGAAATTAAAAATCATAGTTTATATAAAACTTTATACAATTGTTAAGCAAGATAAAATTCATAAGGGAAGGTGGGGTATTATGGCGCGGGTGGGTATTATGACGCACTTGTGTTTTTTGATGATATACTGCGAACTACTGATCAGAATCGAAGAATTTTAGTACCAATCGATTCGTCTTACTGAGACGAATCGAATGGTAATAAATTCACTTTATTTGAAGCACAAGAATACAAGATATAATCAAAAAAAACAAAGTTATTAATATTTTGGGTTCCGATCCCAACAAATTTGATCCGATGCAGATCTGATATGATTAATTTAGTTAGTACAATAATTAGTAATATGATTTTATTTAATTAATTTCGTAACGAAAGTCTAATATCAAGGAGACCAAGAATATTTCTATACAAATTATACACCTCATTTTCGTGCGAATTATGACAATCATGATAAAAATTTTGAAAACTAGAATTACAGTCTTCAATTATAAAAAAAACTCAACAAATTTGCATATTTCTAACCCTTTCATGGTAAATCGATACTTATTTACTTCATTGAAACTACCATCATTCGTGCCTTACTGAATTTTTTATCCATTGAAAGCATGTACTCTATTTTTCCTAGATATTCAAAAAACAAAATGACTTCATTAAAACAAATAAATCTTTGATTCGATTGTATTGGCTAATATGAGCGTAATGATTGTCGATTGATCCAATTATTATGTCCATAACGATAAGACTTAAAAAGTATCGTATGGTATTCTTAAATCGTTCGTAAAGAAATGGAAGAACATAGTTCATCTGTTCTTTAAATTCAGCCTTGTTATAAGTATTCTGCATTAAATCATTGCAAAGTTTTAAAATTAGATTATTTTTATCTTCGCCTTATAAATCGAAATAGTACAACATATTTGCAGTAATATTACAAATTTTTAGTATTGAAGAGTTTTTGATGAGAAGTTATTCGATTTATATTAAAGAAAC